GCTGAAGAGTATAAATCACTTATGATTGAGTTTGAACATAAGACTTTTTGATCCATACCTCTTCGATCCAGGGATATAAAATTCTACCAGTCCCCTGCAAAAACCTCCCTTTTTGCAGATCTCCCCTGGGTTAATTACCAAAAGCCAAAATCTGATCAAGACCTGTACAAACTACATTAGCCAACACTGCCCAGTCCCTCTGCAAAATCTTTCAAAGCTTTATCATCCTTATTTCAAAATGGATCTTTAAACTTTATGACTGCTTTGTGATCTTTTTATGTCATGTCCTAAGATTACTCATTAGTGTTTGAACTGTATAATTTTAACAATTCTGTATTAGAATTTTTCCATTTCTTGATCATAACGGGTTTTTACTTATGCTTAGAGTGCTTTTATATGCCTCCTCACTTTCCATTGTTCTAAGAACACACTTGGCTTTAATCTTTCAAATTCTGTTGCCTTTTAAATTTAACTTGTACAGATTTAGATATCTATTATCTGTCCATAAATGGTTCAGAGGAATAAGAAAACAAGGAACCCATTTAACCAATCATTATCCTCTGGCTTTTACCACCTTAAAATGGATAAACTTTTTGGCTGCAAGAGACCTCTCCCAAAGACCAAAGAAAACACTAGTGTCCTACAGGTCTGGTGATTTTGATAGAGCAACTCTAAATCAGAGCCTGTGGAATAAAGCCCTGGCATATTCAACCTCTCAGTGCTATCAGGACAGACCTCTGAAGCATTCCTTTTGTGAGATACAATATTCTCAGACGCTATGCTTTTTTTGTTTTTTTTTTTTAATGGGGAGCAGCCCCTCTCCACTTGCCCCTGAACCATCCACCAGCCTGACTCTCTGAGGCCGAGGCTACATTTATGATAAAGATGAATTTGGATTTCGAAGGAGGTTTTGGCAAAACAGTTTTAGACTGATTTATAAACTACCCAAGCAGTTAAATATAGCTATAAGTTGAGAGAAAGAGAGAGGATGATGATTTCCCTCTAGCTCATAGTATTACTGAAGACGACCTCATTGGAGGAAGGATGACTCATGTTAAACAAGGCACCAGTAACTTGCAGATCAACTGAGTTATCCCCCAGGTAATGTGATATTTGCCTCTTTGCTTAGTGTGCTTCTCTGTAAATCTCTACCTATGAAGAACTGGAGGGAAAAAATGGCAAGATGAAAACATGACAGAAGAAAAGAACAATAGGCATAGTCAGGGCATCATTCCATCTTGACTGTGCTACCACAGCTATCCGCCCCAGGTCCTCAGTGTTCCCCACGGTGTCAAGCAAATGGGTCTGACTCAGGTCTCCCATGTGCTATGACAGCTCTATCATCAGAGTAAAAATGATTCCTTTTGCCCATTTTCTAATAACACTTCTTTTAAAGATTTTATTTATTTGACAGAGGGAGACAGAGAGAGAGGGAACACAAGCAAGGGGAGCGGGAGAGGGAGAAGCAGGCTCCCCGCTGAGCAGGGCGCCCGATGCGGGGCTCGATCCCAGGACCCTGGGATCATGACCTGAGCCGAAGGCAGACGCTTAACGACTGAGCCACCCAGGTGCCCCTAATAACACTTTTTTAGAAATTCCTCATATATTTGAAATTTCTCATGTATTTGAAAGAACACTTTGGACACAATGCTTAGGTCTACATTTTTTCTACCAAAAAAAGAACCTTCAATTTTTCTAACCACCTAGGATCATGACTGGAGGCAAGGCTGGAGGGCGATCTATCAAGGGCTATCAGCAGTCTACTTTGTTAGAAATTCATTCAATGGCCAAGATACAAACTGCACCTGGAAATCCCCAAAAGTCTACTCTGGCTCTCAGATTTCTTCTGCCACAGACATCATGCTGCTAAGTTTTTATCTAAAATGTCTCACACCCCCCCTCCCCAGACACTTTGTGGAATTAGAAACCAACTGCATTTGCCAGACCAAACACAGACAGGATGCTGTTTTCCAATTGCAGATTAGTAGGCAGCCCCAATAATTTGCAATTCCCTCTAAATTTCCTATGAGATACATAGAGAACACACATTGCCCCTTTTCTCCTGCCCATCCACGCTCTCTTAAGACATTCTCATTTTCCCAAGGCTAAGGGTGTTATGACATTTTCTCAGGTCACAAGCTTCAGAGCCCCAACCAACATCACTACTACTCAAGTCTCCTTTGCCTGCTTTGCCAAGATTCTTGGCCAAGAGAGGAGAATTCCCGGGGGTGGCATCCCTTCCAAACTGCCAAAGTCTGCTTTCTGAGACTTTTTGGTCACAGCATATGAGATTTTGCAAGGCAAGTGCCTGGTTAGCACCTTCCTCCGTCTTCTGGAGATCTTAAAGCTCCCCCCCAACCCCCAAAAATTGCAAAGTAAATCCTCTTCAAAAGTAGCCTGAGAAACCTGGCTCTGTTAACATTTCCTTATTGTTAGTAGGAAATCATTATACAGCCCCAAAGCTAAAAAAAAATTCTAATTATTTCAGAACAAGCTACTGTTTTTCATATGCTGATCCCAGAGCTCCCCCTTGTGCCCTTATGGGGAACTGATTGAAGCAAGAACTGAAGGTTAGCACCTTCATTAGGTTGTGGGGTTCCAGCCGTTGCCTAGAGCACTGGTCCTCAAACCTCAATGTGCATCATAATTATATAGAGAGTTTTATCAAATATGGGTGAAGAACTACCCTGTAGACCAAGACATTTTAAATTAACCTTTCAGAAAACTAAAATGCAGAACTGTTTGAGAATTTGTCTCAGAAAAAAAACAAGCCAAATCACCAAAATACCAAAATGTGGATTAAGATTAGTTCCAAAATTTTAATCTGCATCAGAATTGCCTTGTGTTTTTTATAATATTTTATTTATTTATTTTTTAAGATTTTGTTTATTTATTTGACAGAGAGAGAGACAGCAAGAGAGGGAACACAAGCAGGGGGAGTGGGAGAGGGAGAAGCAGGCCTCCCGCAAAGCAGGGAGCCCGATGAGGGGCTCGATCCCAGGACCCTGGGATCATGACCTGAGCTGAAGGCAGTTGCTTAACCGACTGAGCCACCCACGTGCCCCTATAATATTTTATTTTTAAGTAATCTCTACCCCCAATGTGGGGCTCAAACTCACGACCGTGAGATCAAAGGTCACACGCTCCACCAACTGAGCCCGCTAGGCAACCCAGGATTGCCTTGTATTTAAAAAAAAATTCCTGTGCTTGACACTCAAGAGATTCTTTTGGTTTCATGAAAGATCTAGAAATTGATTTTTAAAATAGACACCCCAAGGTATTCTGTCACAGGTGATCTTAAGAAACCCTGGCAAAGACAGCTAAATTCCGTAAATAGAACAAACTGCTAGGTCAAAGGAAAAACTAACTTTTCCTCTCCTTACAAGGAAAAAAAATCAAGTTTCTAAATGCTATTATCATTTAACATCATGAGACTATTTTTTTTATTACTTTAAAACATCAGAACCAACCTTGGGAGAGTGAGAGTGAGATACTTTCTAAAGGACACACCTTATCTTTGGTCGTATTATCTACTTTAGCCAGAGCCCTGGAGAAGGCTTTGGAAGCCATCAAGGGAGACTCCAAGAGGCCAAACTCAGAGAGGCTAGTTGCTAAGTCCAAAAAAAAGACCTTATAGATGCTACCATGAATAGAAGAAGCATGTGACCTCAAAGCTATATGGTGGGATATTGGAGAATAATTAAAGCAACTCTAAACACACCTTCTCATAAACAAAGTGTGGTTTGCTGCCCTGACTCCAGCTTGGATGCTGGCCCAGGGATCCTCCACCACATGATGCTCTTGAGCATCAGGCTCCCTCTGTCTCTTTCACTGATGTCTATTACCTTTCATTGTTCTCCTCTCATCATATACTTCTCTCACCTTGAAAAGGTGAAAAGAAAAATTAATTCCCAGATCCATGAGAACCAGAGAAACACAGTTGGTGAGATGTGAATACTAGTGTACCTTTATGAACCAAAGTAAACCCACAATATTGTTAGCACTGCTAATATTTTTAAGATATCAAGTAGTTGACACAACGCTTAGACCACTGATTTCCAATACTGCAGTGACATAAGCAGAAGAGCTTCAATCTCTCAAGGGTTATCGTGAAACTATCAAAAACAAAACTAAGTCAATTATTTTCTTTTTTAAAAATATACACTTTTGCTAGCTTGATAGCGAAAAACCTGCAAGTCAAACTGATCCAAAGGCACCTTAATCCTGCACAAAGATTAGGAATAATCTACACACAGAATAATGAATAAGTGCAAAGAATGAAAATCAGCAGACATTTACGTGTCACTCACACCATGAAAGCAGTAAGTAAGTTGACAGTTCTGAGGGCATGAAATTGTTCATTTTCTCTTAGTGTTCCCACCCAAGTGGACTGTATTAGTCAGATTGAGACTGTGGAGCGCTGTTGCCTCAATGCCAGTAAGTTAAATGAATTGTATTATGTATTCTACAGATGAGACTCTACCTTGGTGATTCTGCCACCATTCATCAGAAAATGGAGGAGTTGGAAATGGAGCATACAAATGATCTACCCTGGCCCCTATCCTCTTACAGAGGAAGAAGCTACGATTCAGAGGGTAGATTGCTTCCATCTAGATCACCAAGGTAGTTCACTGTTGATGAAGAACTACAAGCTAGGTTATATATAGCACAGCTCTTAAGCAAATTGGGACTAAACACTATGAATAAATACAAGGATACAAACACAATAATTATATATTAAATAATTTTCAAGGCTATTAGACACTTAGGCAAACAGGGTGAGAAGATGCCATTGAGGAGACTGGGAAGTACTGAGATTGGTGAGAACCTATTCCTCTTAAGAGACACTCAGCACATCCTTACAACAAAAACCTACATATTCTTCTGTTCTTTCTGCTTTGCATTCCTAGAGAATATGTTTTAAAATAGTAAGATTCTGGAGAGTTTTGCTGCCTCACAATAAATACAAATGTGAAATAACCACATAGAAGTAAGAATACCTGGGGACTGAAATCACTCCTGCTCCTGGTTTGGTAGGATTGCACCTCATTTTCACAGCAGTTGACCGGCCATTGACACAAGATGTTGTAGTTGTAGAAGACCTATTACAGGGCGAATGGCATTTTACAGAACAGACAGGACATAGACCACCAAGACATAAATATCCTGTGTATAACTGCTCCCATGCTTTATGCAACAATGAAAAAGAAAAATGTGTCCAGATTCACTAATTAAGAATTTTAATACAAAATGAGCTCATTTACTTTCACTGCCTAGGAAAAGTGGACTGTCTTCTCCGGTAAAGTAATAAGTTATCTTCAAGGTGTTTAGTGAAGTTACCATAATTATAATCAAAGTCATAATCACAAAAATTTTTAAAGGGAAGAGAGGTTGTATCTACTTGGGCTGATGTTGAAGTATGTGAATTACAAATACTGCCTGGACAAGGAAGTAGAGTCTCTTTTTGCCTAATTTAAAAGAATATATATATGTTATATATATTATATATATATATAACAGACAAAATAGAATATATAGAAAAAATAGATATAGATAAAATACATAAAACCAGAGAAAAGATATATATTTATACATATCAGAACGTATGTAATACTTTCAAAATAGTTCATTTTTCCTACTTTATACTAAGTCTTCCATTTAAGAACCAATCATTGAGTATCTATTAAGTATAATAAGCTACTATGCTAGGTACCATGAAAAGACATTTTTTTGATTAAAATAGTCAAGGGAAGCAGCATCTTCACTTACTTATAAAAGAAATGCACATCTGGTATTTGGCTAGGGGTTACTGGGAACATTTCTTCTTTTATATTAATATTTTGCAATGTAGTTTCAACGGTCACTCCTAGATGACAATAAAAAGAAGCTCTTAAGCAATATGGAAAAATTAGATTTATTTAGTCTGTGTATCTGAATTGAAAGCAGCTTTAATCTGATACTGTCATTTGACCAGAAATATTGTATTAAATTTATGCATTCATGGTAAGATCAAGAACCATTCCAAATTCTAAAGAATAAAAAAGAAAAGAATCTACTCCACAGCCCTGTAATTTTGCTCAAGTCACTTCACATCCCTGGGCCTTACATCTTAAATCTGTAAAATTCATGAAATAATTGAGATGATCTCTAAAGCCCCTTCCAGCTCTAACATTTCAACATCCTAGCATTATTAAAATTCTTGGCTTCTGATGAGTTTTGTTGTACAAGCTGGCTATTTTGCTAATACAGCTTTTCACTAAATATAGACACACCTGAGAAAACAAAAAATTTTGTACCCAATAATTTCCAGAAAGCAACTCCAAATTTTGTTTAATCTAAAAGTCAGGCATTTCTCCCATCCCTTGGAGACAAAATGACAGCAGAGCCAAAATGCCAGCAATAACAGCAACCTCTCCTTCTGACATGGAGTTCGGAGACTGAGCGCAAATTCAGTAACTGACCTTGGTGCTGAAAATTAAAGCTGAATTCCTCTGGAGTCAATAGCAACAGTCCTCAAATTTGCTGTACATTAGAATCACCTAAGAAGCTTGTTAAATTATTATACTGTTATATGTTATATCATCATCCCAGAGGTTCTAATGAACTTGATCCCTAAAAATCACTAAGAGGTCATTCTTAAAACTTTCCTATGCCCTCTAGTCCACAAAGACAGAAAGGACAGACGGGGAATAAAGCTCAGCACCTTCACCTTTGCTAAGTGTCACCAGCTTCCTTTTGGTATGAGAAAAGATTATGAAAACTGGTGGTAGATATTATGATTTAGGTTTACACAATATTTGTTTACTGTTCTTCTTTTGTTTATAGTTTTGGTTTCTAAACTTATTCTGCTTCTTAAATTCCTAGAGAATTTGATGAAAGGCACAGACTCTCAAAAAACATCCTATCACATATGAGTTAATGCATAAATTCAGCAGATGCTTGCACTCACTTAGACTGATCAATAGATCTCAACTGCAGGGGCTTTTGAACCATGTTACAAAGTGATGATTTAGAATTACCTGTGGCCTTCATCATCTATGGCAAACACCAACACAATGACAAGTTATCAGTACTGTAATTTTAGAATAACTGCATGCATGCATACAGGAACCAAATGAAGCTTACCTAAAAATCTATCTGCCAGAATGATGGACTGTGATGATAAGGCTGCTCGGAAACCCTTACTTTCAGAAGGAATAATAGTTGACTGGCATACATATGCTCCTACCAAATTCGTGTAATCATCTGACCCTGCCACCATTTCCTTTACTGTGAAGTCTGTTATATTGTTGGTACAGAGAGCCATCTTCTTCCCCTAGGAAAATAAAGTCACAAAGAGGTTTTACAGAAGAGTCAGTCTTTACATTAGATCTCAGAGACTCATGACCCTAATAGAGCAGTGGGCTCTCTCCTCACTACAGAGATTCTGCTTTAATTGATATGGTGTGGGGCCCAGGCACTGGCATTTTTTTTAAAAAATCTCTTGAGGAACTCCAGTGTTTAACTAGGGTTGAGTCGTTTAAATTACAATGAATATAGAAATTCAAGACTGCACTGCTCTTCCAACTGCAAGCATCATTTGTGCTGGATGAAAGCCATCTAACTTAAGGAACTAAAAGTCACCCATGAAACCTTCAATTCAAAGGATAACAATGCATTCAAAGAGACCAGATAACCCTGGTGAAGGTTTTAATGTCAAAGAAAAAGACGTGCTCTTCCTTCACCTTTATTGGCTTACTGTGGCAGAAAGGTAATGTGAAGTCTGAAGAAGAAAGCATAGAAGTCTTATTGCAGCACAATCCTAGGACACCATCTAAATTCTTATTAGTTGGTCACTACAAGCGTCTTTATTCACCTACTCAGATTCAATGACGTGTAACTACTCAACTACACAGAAAGTTGAAGGGAATACAGGAGTTTACTTTTTAAATCATTTAATCAGCTGGAATATATAATTTATAAAAATTGGAGGACGGTTTAAATATACTATAGTCCCACTGCAAACAGCTACAGCTTTATAATTTCTATGTAGGAATGTATAAAGGGAAAAAAGATGATGATTTTATTGCTCTTAGATGTAGGGTGAGCACACATGGGCACTAAGAAAGGAACCTAGATTTAACTTTCTTCATGGAGCTAGCAGTCCAAACTTATAAAATGTTCTCCCTCCACTAAGCTTTTTCACCACAGTACAGGTACAATATATTGTTAAATTGTTGAAGCTGAGAAGAGGAAAGCAATGGAAAAGATTAGAGAGAAGCTATTGAGGAAAGAAAGAGGAAAACAGCAATAAAAGGAAAGGAATGAGAATAAAAAGGAAAGGAAAATAAAGAGGACAGAAAAGAAGAGGGGATAGAGGGAAGGCAAGACAGTGCTAACACAGGCGTAAGGACAAAAAGAAATATAACACATAATGTAATAATCTCGTTCACCGTTCCACTCAGTATTTAGCAGAACAGGTATTTAATATGTATTTATTCATTGAAGGAACTGAGTGACAACCTATCGAGTGTGTTAGATCACTCCCTTTAAAATCAGAACAGGACAAACACCACACCACGTAAAATTTATAGATCTTTTTGCCTGAAAACGTCTGTGGTCATCAGATCTCTTTTTATTTCCTTTGTACAAAGTTTGGCACAGCATCTCATAATGAAGACCACTGGAGATATCGGAGTTAATATGGAAAAAAACATGGAGGAAATGCCTTATTACATTTTCATCTTTGCTAATGGTGTATACATACACGTACTTCCCAACCCTAACCTCGTAGATCTATAAAAATATTGGGCATCTAATCCTCTAACTCTTCCCATTACCAGCATTAATTAAAGCTTCTTCCCACAGAAAGATAAGATCCCAGTATTTATTAGCAGATACCAACTGATCAGCTGACATGTGTTCTCTGTTTACCTCCTTTTTTATTTTTAGACAAACTTCCTCTTGGAGGTCTTTTTCTTTTTAAAACAGAAAATCGACAATATGAAGAACAGTAGAACATTTTCAAACCAAAACTGCCTGCCTAAAAAATAGGTGGGACTGACAAGCCCGAACCAGTTGGACAGAAATGAAAGATCCTTCAAGCACCTACACCCTAACTCTGAGCTCTGGGGCTCCAGGGGCTGGGGAATAAGTGCTTTGATGGATGGAGATGCAGACAAGGCTGGCCCTGCTGGAGAAAGCTGCCAATGTGCTAGGAGGCAACACAGGATTTAAGCAATCACAGCTCCGTTTCTGACATTTGGCTGTTAGTTTCTGTAGAGATTTTATTGGGCCATCCACACAGAAAATATCAACTCAATCAGAACTGAAACACAGCTCCATCTCACCCTGACAGCCAGAACTCACCTCGTGCCCACATAAACTAATATTGAAGAAGTGGAAGTATTTGGTTCCTTTGGAGGTAAAGCTGGGTCCATTCATTAATGAGCCCACGCTGCTGAGGTTGCTGAAGTCATAGTGCAAACTCTGATTCTCTTTTTCATGGTGGAAAAAGCAGTCACTATAGCAAACTGAGTGGTCCTTTGATTAAAGATTAAGAAATAAAAAATATATATATAGTAGAAAAGGAAATATTAGCTGCTATGAAAAATGTGTTTCAAAAACAGTTCTACATTTAAAAACTCTTCTGGTAATTTTGTCTTAGTTATATTTTATCACATGAATATGGAGAATTTCTAAACAATAATTAAAATATTCCAAGATATACTTGCTGCTCTCCATATATTCCTATGGCCAACCCACCGGGGGAGTTTACTCGCTCTCCCTTAACAGAATACACAAAAATCTAATTTTAATATTTTTGGAAAGCATTCTTATTTGGGTGCTTTTCTTAATATCTTATGCCCTCAGGAACTGGGGCTTTCATGGCATATAACACGTGTTCAAGCGCTTAATAAATGTAAGAGGAGAGAAAACAGGAAGAAGAATGAAAAGGCCATTTCTAAATAGAAGTACTTCGTAGTTCCTGGAGAAACATGAAGGATATCTTGTGAGTGTCTCTATTAAAGTGTGCTTTCCTGGAGAGAACCAAAAGACACACTCACTCACCTGAGTGCTTCTACTCCCAGGCCCACATGGAATACAAGCCTCCTTGCCATAGACCTGATGTATGGACAGGTAGGTGTCAGGTGGACACTCCTTGCACTGGTTGGTTTCTTTCTCAATGTAGTGGCCTGGGGGGCAGGGGACACACGATGAGCCCGACTGCTCAGAACCGAGGGCACAGGCACGGCATGAGGACGCCACCCCATCAACGGCATTAGTGGCAGTGATAGAATAAATCTTCACCATGTCATTGATGAACCGTCTATTCTAGAAAGAGAGCAGAAAGTAATGACTTCCGCCTTGGGGCTTAATTGTACAACCAGATTGTTTTGTGTTGATATCACCAAAATAGCTAAGCAGAGTGTTCCAGCCTAACAGTTTATAATCGATAGCGGATTAATATTATTTCTTCTTGGTTCTTTTAAAAAAAAATCTTAAATCTTAACACTAGGAGCTAATTTCCATAGTAATGGAGTTCCAGGAGGTTATCCGCAATCACCGCCAAGATCAGGCATATTTATAGGCTTTACATCTGGAAGAACTGGTATGGTTTAACAGAGGAGCAACTTTATCTCCCATCATAGTTTATTCAGGGATCAGCCTAACTGTAATGATACAATAGGATATTTGCCGTATAGCAAGTGGTAAAGCCTTAGATGAGGGGTTAGTCTTGAAAGACTAGGACTCTGCTCCTCACCCAACACTGTGATGCCATCACAGCACCCCTCTGAGCCTTTCTCTCTCTTTCTCCAGTACTTTCCCTATGTATGGATTTCTAGTGAAGGGATGCATAGTAGAGAGCAAATCCCTGGGTCTAACTATACTTTTCCTTCTTATGACACTGGGTCAATTAAGATCTAGTTCTCACCAGGCAGTGGGCAACATTTTATCAGTAGAGAACAGAGCTACCCTAGACTACTTAATGTTTTTCTCTGGGGTAAAGACAACAGGAAGACAAGGAAGCACTCCACAGCACGTTCATGCCCCACCTGGTGGTAACCTGAACACTCATCAAGAACAATTAGCGTCAAGTAACAACTGAGAATGGGTTTCCCAATGAAAGCCCAAAGAGACAAGAGAAAATGTTCTGCATTTGTCACCACGGTTTAAAGTGGTTTACCTTGTTTGCACCTTGGGAAGTTCACGTCTATGGAGATCCACAAAAGTAACAGTCCTGCCACTATTGAAACATACAGTGGAACTTACTTAGGGGAGGATTAGGGTCTACTCTAGCAGGGGCAGTAGAAGAAAATAAATAATTCTGTGTGTTAACCCAATTGTGTGTACATACACACTCTCCAGGCTATACAAGGAGACATCACTACAATGAAATAATAAGCCAACGCCAGTTAATGGCTCCAGGACAAATGTCAGATCATTCAGAAAAAGAGGAAGACAGTCACTAGCCTTCTCAAAGTCTTAGAAAGCTTTAAAAAAAATATGTTTTTAAATAACTACAAAATCAGATTTTCTTTCTCTTAAGCTTTCAACAAGTATATGTTTAGCATAGTTAAGCTTTCAACAAATATATCTGTTTAGTATAGAACGATCCAAAGAGACATTGTGTTATTCAATTTCATACATTCTTGCTCTCAAAAAATATATATACCATTTTTATCCAAATCCACTCCCTAACCAAATGACTGATCCCACATCAATAAAAAACTAAGTCTTTTCCTCCAAAAGATTTGAGTGATCGTTGTGTATGAATGTCCATTGGGAGCGTCATCTTTGTATTTGAAAAAAAAAAAGTGCTTGGAACTTACATCTTGACCCTGATTGGTTCTCTGGAAAGCCCATGTAAATGTAAATGTTGCATTCTTGAAGATGATGTGGGTGTAAGCTTGCTTTTCTTTGGTTCCACCCCATGATTCCACCACATTGGTACTTTTCCTATTAATATCCTAATATATAGTAGAAAAATATAAACAAAAAAGCACAAATTCAGGATTAATATACATATGTATACATTACAAATATGTGTCTTTACAATAACCCCTGTAGGGTCAGTGAATATTTATCTGCAGAGCACATCACCCTAGAACTCTCAAAACCTCCCTTCAAGTCTACACAAGCACTCACTAGCTTAGTAATTACAATTTTTCAACTACATTGCCAATATAACCTGAAAGAGGTATCAAATTATAGTACATTTAAGAATGTATGTGTGCATGTGTGCCTGTGTGCACGTGACTCTAGCTTAGGAAATACACTTTGAAAGGAAAACATAATTCCTCCAACTTCTCACAGTAAACTTCTAGGCTCCTCAGAGAATAGCAAGGTTTTTCCATGTTTGCCTTTTTCCTTGTGAGATTCTGATAGGCAGCTCTTGCACAGGAATTCTAAGTTCCCTCTGAATGACACTTGCAACTTCCAGGCTTCTCCAAGTGTACATTAACCAGAATGTTATTTTAAGTCCAAAGAATCTTCTTCTGCTTAAACTTGAACTCCAAAGGAATTCGTGTAATATCTTATTTCTGATTTCCTTAGCTAAATTCAATATCTGGAATATTCTACAAATGTGTAACATTCCAACCAGTGTGCTGTCATTAATGTGATTAGAAAGCAAATATATTAAGTCAACCAAATAATGCAATACGCATCTAATTAATTTGAAGTGAAAACCAAACCTAGCCTTGAATTTTCTAATTAGTGGTCCCTACAGAAACCCTAATAGATGACTTAGAAATTTGGATGGGCTTCTGTTACATTATCTGGGATGTTGACAATATGACGGCATGAGCCCAAGATATGTCTGTTTCTTTCTCTGTTATAAACATAGGAGTCAAACCTTATAAAGTAATCAAACATGCTATAAAGAGATGTGTCTTGAGTTCACACCACAGACAGGAATAACAGAATGTGCTGGTTACACATTACAGAATTCCCCATGTTACCAAATGACCAAACCACCATACATGCCACTTCCTAAAAGAAGCTCAGAATACACAGACAGTGCTCTGTTAAACATCATATTTCTAGATGTTTATTCCAATAATAAGTGGAATTTATTGCATTACCATAAATAATGCCATCTTACCTTTGTAAAACACTGCATGCTTTTGAAAGCATTTCTATACACTATTTAATTGACATCACAAAAAATCCTGTGAGAAAACCAAATCAAACAGAGAGGAAAGAAAACTAACAGATTCTGCTATGAGCTAAAAACTCTTAAGATTGATTCATGAAAATAAATAGCTATGATCTCTACCCTCAGGAGTGCTTGGTCAAGTGAGAGAGAAAAAAACATCAATATAGTCACATAATTAAAATAGAGTTTTCTTGAAGAGTTTTTGGAGCACACTAGAGAGAGCGGCTAATTTTACTTAAAGGATTAAGAGAAAGCTTCCCAGAAGAGGTGAAGTTTGAGCAGCCCTTGAATTATGAGTGGGAGTTCACCAGACAAAAGAGCCAAAGGAAGAAAGCCATTGGGGCTTAGAGTGCCAAGGCAGGAGAACTGAAGTACAGGGTGTTCCTCTAACAAATTCACGGTGTCCTAAGAGGTGTGAGTAGTAACAGTGGACTTGTGAAACAGAAGCTGGGCAAAGAGTACAAAAAGTCATAATGATGTCATGCTAAGAAATTTTAAGCGTATTCAGAGGCAATTGGTTCTCAAACTTTAGTTGATGTTAGAACCACCCTCATGGCTGGCTAAAATACAGATATCTGGGCCCATCACCAGAGCTTCTCATTAAGACTAGGATATGGCTGAGAAACCTACGTTTCTAACAGATTCTCAGGTGATGCTGGTCCAGGGACCACACTTTGATAGCCTCTGCCATAGGCAGTAGCCAACCAGCAAGGTGAAGGAGGCAGATTTGCTGTGGAGGCCGCCATTACTGTTTTTATGTTTATAAAGGTAATTTTGACAGCAGCATATATGAGAGAATGGAGAGAGAATACAGACAGCTGCTGAGAAATAATGAGAGTCTGGACTTCAGCAATGGTACTGAGGATGAAGAACTAACAGATTAAAGAAATAGGAAGGCAGAGCTGGGAATTGAATAATTATTAGTTATTTGTGGCATATTAAATGGATGTGTTGAAGATTATTCATGATCTTCTTTCACTACGACTACCACCCCCCGCCAGGAAGAAAATAGTCTGCCTTCCTTGAAGCTGGTAGTAATCACAAATATTTATTTATTTATTTATTTATTCATTTATTCATTTATTTTTAAAGATTTTATTTATGTATTTGACAGAGAGAGACACAGCAAGAGAGGGAACATGAGCAGGGGGGAGTGGGAGAGGGAGAAGCAGGCCTTCCGCAGAGCAGGGAGCCCGGTGCCGGGCTCGATCCCAGGACCCTGAGATCATGACCTGAGCTGAAGGCAGACACTTAAAGACTGAGCCACCCAGGCACCCCACAAATAAATATTTAAATCTTCATCTAACTTGTATATCACGGAGGAAACTGTTAACAGACTGCTAACTAGCTACTAAAAGACTGGGGAAAAAGCAAAAACAATGTCTAGGAAGTCACTACTTACAGTATTAAAATCTTAGCCAACAACCTTCTAATACCCGCACAAGGTCTTAATAAATTTAATGTTCCTACTTTTCTCAAGCTAAGAGTTGAAATGTGTAGGGCATCTAGAAAAAATTGAGCAAAATTATGACAGGCACATAGTAATGTTCTTTGCCTATAGTTACTAAATTTAACAGTGAAGAGTTTCCTTTCTTCCCAATGCCCTACACCCCCATTATTTTCTACCCTCACTTACAAATATAGGTTTTTCCTTCCTAGTGGTTTGAACTACAGAATGGTTATTAGAGGAGAATTTCTTTGTGCTGATGGCATATCTTTATGAAGGAGTTTTTACCAGATTAATATTCCCTGACTTCCGTCAGTCACCCAAGCCCCCTTGCTCAGTCCTCCCCATGAGGAACACAAGCTTTCTTTGTGGGCTGCACTGCACATTTCTTAGTGACTTCTTTAGATATTTTTTAATTTTTTGCAAGGAGACCTAAGAATGGGAAGAAAAATGGGATTCTTATCCCAATTTGCATGAATGAACTGACACTTGAAAGAACATGCTAAGCTTAGAAACCCGCCTTTGAAAGCCCCTCTTTCACTTACCACCATGAAATACAGAACACAGTCAGCTGAACAGAGGGTCTCAAAGACAAATGTTATTCTTCCCAGTTCAGAACCCATGGCTCCAGTCATAGATGTTGGTGGCCTATTTGACAGATTAAAATTATAATATTTATTGTATATTCTAAATAGAGTATGGCACAAAACTAAGTCACTTTTTCCATTAAGCTGAAAGCCATGCTCTTCTCTTCCCCTAATCCATGGTTCCCCACAGCCACAACTTCTTCCTTACTCCATCTCTGCATGCCCAGACCATTCCAGTAAGGAGTCTACACAACGATGGTAATATGCTTGAATCTCCTGTGTAAACATTACCATCCATCCTAAAGTAAGAAAAATATGCCTTATCGGGAAACTTCAACATGGGGAACTAAAGCAAAAAGTGATTTAAACAGTTATAACATACTACTTAACAGATAAAACTGAGACAAAAATAAACTTATAAACCAAAAGATACCCCCACAAACAACAACTTGGACAAAGACCTCTTCATTAAGCATCAAATAATCATGGTTATTGTAACATTTGGATAGAATTATTGTTAAAAACTTTCAGTTTCATCTAAATATACAACTAATAGCTATAGTTACAATTCTACAGATATTCTTAAATGTAATACATTATCCTAAAACAGCTTGTTATTTGCTAAGTCCATCACAATGTAAGTATATTTTATGAAGGCAGTCCTATTTCATCTATTTCTATAGGGAAACAGGCATGAGGATTCTTACAGAAAGGAATCAGAATTGGTTTTCCTTACTTAAATCCTGGGATATGCAAGTTTAAGATCAGGTAATCATTATCCGAACCTCCAGCCCCACTCTGGATGTGATCTCCAGCCACTTCCCAACCTGGAAATGAAATGAGGCATCTTTATCAGTAAAAATCCCATTATTGATTTCCAACAACCTTTTTAAATATGGTAAAAAAAAAAAAAAAAAAAAAAAGGACTATTAGTGTTTATGTTCAAAGTTAGAAATACTCCATGCTGATCTTCTACTTAGATGATTTGTCCATTGCAGTGAGTGGGGTATTAAAGTCCCCTACTATTATTGTATTATCATCAATGTGTTTCTTTAATATCATTATTAATTGGCTTATACAATTGGCTGCTCCCAAGTTAGGAGCATAAATATTTATAATTTTTAGACCTTCTTGCTTTTTTTTTTTTAAAGATTTTATTTATTTATTTGCGAGAGAGAGAATGAGAGACAGAGAGCACGAGAGGGAGGAGGGTCAGAGGGAGAAGCAGACTCCCCGCTGAGCAGGGAGCCCGATGCGGGACTCGATCCCGGGACTCCAGGATCATGACCTGAGCCGAAGGCAGTCGCTTAACTGACTGAGCCACCCAGGCACCCTAGACCTTCTTGTTAGATAGATCCTTTAAGTATGATGTGTCCCTCTTCATCCCTTACTACGGTCTTTGCTTGTATGATATGAGGATTGCTACTTCAGCTTTCCTTTTTTGTCCATTAGCATGATAAATGTTTCTCCACCCCCTTACTTTCAACCTGGAAGTGTCTTTAGGTCTAAAATGAGTCTCTTGTAGGCAGCATACGGATGGGTCTTGCTTTTTTATCCACCTGATACCCTGTGTATTTTGATAGGGGCATTTAGCCCATTTACATTCAGGGTAACAATTGAAAGATACGAGTTTAGTGCCACTGTATTACCTGTAAAGTCCCTGTTTCTGTAGGTTGTCTCTGTTTCTTTCTGGTCTATGTTACTTATGGGCTCTCTCTTCACTCACAGGATCCCCTTTAATATTTCCTGCAAGACTGGTTTAGTAATCACAAATTCTTTTAGCTTCTGTTTATCCTGGAAGCTATCTCTCCTTCCATTCTGAATGGAAGGAGATATGTTGGATAAAGTATTCTTGGCTGCACGTTTTTCTCATCTAGTACCCTGAATATATCATGCCAGTCCTTTCTGGTCTGCCAGTCTCTGTGGATAAGTCTGCTGCCAATCTAATGTTCCTACCCCTGTAAATTAAAGAGTTCTTCTCTTGAGCTGCTTTCAGGATTTTCTCTTTATCTCTGAAATTTGCAAGTTTCACTATTATATGTTGGGATGTTGATCTATTTTTATGATTTTGAAGGGTGGGTTCTCTCTACATCCTGGACTTGAATGCCTGTTTCCTTCTCCAGATTAGGGAAGTTCTCAGGTATGATTTGTTCAAATATACCTTCTGTCCCTCTCTCTCTTTCTTCTTCTTCTGGGACCCCAGTAATTTTAATGTTGTTTTGCTTTATGATATCACTGATTTCTCAAAGCCTCCTCTCCTGGTCCATTAGTTGTTTTTCTCTCTTTCCCTCAGCTTCCTTCCTTTCCATCATCTTGTCTTCTATGTCACTGACTCTCTTCTGCCTCATTTATCCTAGCTGTTAGAGCATCCATTTTAGACTGCATCTCAGTTAAAGCATTTTTAATTTCGGCCTGATTAGATTTTATTTCTGCACTAAGAGATTCTCTAAGTAAAGGAGGGAGCAAGTGGCTACGTTGAGTATTATCACGAGAGGCAGACCAAGTTCTCTAAAAGATCAAATAAAAGTTCTAGATAATCTTTACTAGTAAGTGAATACACACACACACACAATGCTTTCATGAGTTCATTCAATTCCCTGGCCTTCCCAATCTTATTTTTCCTCCATAGATCTTAACTTCTTCAACTTAGAACTCAATCAGAGGATCTTTTAGGAACACAAACCCTCATGGTCAAGTAGTACCTACTGTATTTTCTCTTCTTCTCCCTTATGATAATTTCCTAGAAATGGGATTATTGGTCAAAAAAGAGAATATTTCATAATGTTTAATATATATTATGGCTTTGTCTTTCCCTCTCTCACTCATCTGTTTAACCAACACTATTCATGGACCTACTATTTTTCAATCTTTGTTTTCAGGTGTTCACCTCACTTCCTACATCCCAAGTATATGTATTTCAGATAGGTGCTGATTTAAAACAGATGCAATTTAAAAGAATTATTTAAAACAACAAAATACAATATGGAGAAAAAGTGAGCTCATAAAAATTGCTAATGAAATGAAAAGAGTAAAAGGATGCATTTTGATATAAAATCCTAGTATTTGTAACACCTACTCCTAGCATCAAGTTTAAAAATACACGTACAGATACTGTCACTCATTCAACCAGCAAATATTTCAGAACAATGAAGAGCTAGCCTCTCTCAGGTCTTAAAATATTGGAACAAATAAAAGTCAGCCACAATCTTATAGAACTCCGTCACATTTTCAAGTTTTCAGTAAGTGGGGTTTATATATATTTTGTACACACAGTTATAGATTTCATAGGGAAGGGGAGTTAGAGACGATTTCACCTCTCGACACATTTCAGTCCTGAGCCAGACTCAACCAATTCTGGCAGAAATGCTGTCATCCTACCCTTCAAAATGGCAAGTGACATAGATTTCATTACATCCCTTGGTGATCTACTCTGGTATTTATAACCATAAATGGCGATCCTCAATATCTACTTTAAAGCTGACTCCAAAAAAAATGCAAAATAGTTTATATTGTTACAGAAAAGTCAACTGGCTGTGACACCCCATTTATTATTTCCATGTGAGGGCTGGAAGGCAGACACATAGCTAACTGATAGGAATGAAGTTCCTCATACCCATTTTTGGTATGTTTTTAGAAAGCTGGGTCCAAGAGTCTCTATGACCCAGATACATCCACAAGGCGATTCTGAACTCACCATTCATTCCATCACACTTTGAATTCCCAACATTAAAGCAGGAAGTTTTCATGTTGCCAGGAAGGACATTCCACCATTTATATTCAAACCCAAGTGCAGGCTCCATTCCTGCTGGACACGGCCTACATTCTATGACAGACAAGTGAAATAAACAATTACAGTTAAACTGCATCTGGCTATCTTCCTCTTCCTCTGTTCTAAGAACTACTAAACTTTAATTAGCAGAGAAGGAAGCAGGAAAGAGAGACAGTAGAGCACAAATTCCCTTAAGAATTAATAACTTTTTCTAAAGCAATCTGGAAAGAAAAATATTTCTGGATATAATTTACCCATATGCACTTGACTAACATGAAAAAGGAAAAGGATCAATATAAAATCTTCTAAAATTATTTTTTCCTTCATTTCTGAGAGTAATGGCTAACATCAAATCACCCTCCACAAGTAGGATAATCTGAAACTAGTTCTCTTATATGTGATCTTAGAATCAGTTCGCTCCACCTCATAAACAAGGAAATATTTCAGCCTTCCTATTGGTTATTAAACTTAACAGTATTATACCATTTAATTATGGACTCATTAGTTGAAATTCAAATATTGGCTATGTCGAAAAATGATACTGGAAGTTCAGAGTCACATTTATTAATAAACCTGATTTAAATTAGTATCTGCAACAATGAAACGGAAGTGTCCTTTCCAACCATTTCTGAATTTACCCAACACACTTTGCATTAATCATGTCATTAGAGAGAAAGAGAAATGTTCACTGAGCAAACACTTCTTGCTACCAAATTACTTTAGGACACATTTTTACATAACCTGCTCAATGATAATGAGCTAGATATTATTACCCACAATTTTACAGACAGGAAAATGGAGGTACAAAAGGTTTAAGTAACTTGGATAAATCACACTCACAGTCGCCTGTGGGAGGTCGATTCAAAACCAAGTCAATCAGACTCTTGAGTCTTTCTTATGCTATCTAAGGCTCTGGGTAGTAAGCAGATGGCATGGCTAAATTCAAATGAGAAGACTACAACTGAAATGCACTGTAATTTTTGTCTACCAAAATTAAAACAAACTCTGCAGCACTTTCTATATTATTTGATAAGCACTAACATTTTCTCTACTGTACACCCTGAAGCAATTAAGAGACTATCTTCACTACCATATGACCAAAATGAGTAATTTTTGCTATTAGTATAGCACAAAATGTGATTTGTGTTCCAAAGCTGAATTAGAAGAGGTTATATTTTATGCTTGCATTAGTATATGTGTACACCCTCACTGGAAAAGGAGTGTCTATCCTTAACACTTAATATGGTGGAATTTTTTTTATCAACATTCAAAGGCAGAGTGAGTCATCCCATGAAGAGGGTATTACACGCATTACACAAAATGCCAATAAAAATCTATCCTTGTGGTATGTTAACGAAGCCACTGCCACCTCACAATTCATTAGGATATTTCTCAACTCTTCTTCAGTCTCTGTGAGATAAGTATGTTTTATAAAGAAGTCTTCCACAAAAACAATGAAGAACAAGGTCACAATAGTCCAGCAAGATTATTTTGCTAAAGGTCCAATTGGCATCCTACCCTTTGTTCCATCCGAAAATGTTCCAGGAGGGCAGGGATGGCAAGATGATGATCCATTGTTATAAAATCCAGGGTTGCAAGGTGGACAGTCCTTCTTCTCTCCAGAAGGGGGCAACCTAATAGCATCTGTGAGATCCTCCTGGCAGATTTTGGGCTCTATCCACTTGTACATAATTTGCGTCTGGGAAAAAAAAAAAAAAGTTCGCAGGTCATAGAAGATGCTTTATTTGCTTTAACTTTCCAGTAATAAAAACATTAAACAGAAAGCCTAGGAAAAGTCGAATAGTGAAAGAATAGAAGGGCCAGGTGAAAAGAATCTAAACCATTAGTAACAAAATGAGATAAAAAGAAAAAAAACAAACGTTGGTTGGGACGATGGCCGTTTCTTCCACGTGTTTTTACTATGAGCTACAGGTGGGCCTTACCGCATCCATGCAGCACGTTCATCATCATGGAATTCCACTTTAAAATATAGATACATGATTATAATCCTTACTCTTGTAGCCACTCATTCACTTTATTCCACAATGACATGTGCTTCTATGAAGAAACTACCTTTTCCATTTGGAGACCTTCACTACACTCTTCATTTCCCTCACCCTCAGCAACTATCACCATGCCTAGCACAATATGATCACAAAAGAAAAGGTGTACGTTTTTAAAAAGACTATATCTAGCTTCTCATTTCAATCCTGCATTTCACAAATACATGTGGTTGCTCTCTGAATCTTTTCCAATACCATGATGTTAGACTACAAGAGCCATAGTTAAAACATTTCTAATTCTGGGCCCTGTTGCAGATGCTTCTAACATCAGAATTAAGATGACCTCTATTTTCAAAGACAGAAGTGTTTCAAACCTTATCTTCTCATTTTCTCTCACACATACACATACCCCTACACAACACCAAATACGCAAGATAACTATAACTCAGCCAAACCCAGAAAGTTGCGATTATAAAATTACTCTCATTGTGAAACCAGAAAAATTAAATGGGTTAGCCATTTCACAAACAAAATCAATATGCTCAGTAAAAATAAGACGGTATTTTAAATGCAAAGGATAAATAATTTCATAACTATAGTTTTTAAAAAGAGACTGTTTCCTTCAATAGACATATAATCCAATATAAGAACGCTTTCTCCTTCAAAACAACTTTTGCAATAATAAGTCTAATACCGAAGCTGGAGAAACAAAATTAAAGACAATTCTCTATAGCTATTTTCAGCTAATAGAAAATTATATATAGCACACCCTCTAGACCACTCAATTTTATTCTCAAGTATTCTCTTATGGAAGAGCAAATTAACTTATCTGAAAAAGGATGCTTAAAGGAAATAGTTTAAAAGGTAGATGTCTCAACAGAATTATAAATAACATATTTTTCCTTTTATAACCCTCTTTCTGCATTCATTTTATGGCCCACATCATGATACAGTTCAACCAGTCACTGGACCCACCTGCCTCTCTCTTCCCAGCTGTAAAATGATGGCTGCTCCTGCTGAAGCTTCTTCAACAGTGAAAAAAAATAAACTAGATCCTGTATCCAGAGGGGTTCTCAACTCCTCTGAAAAAAGGGCACATAAAATTCAGAGAATCTAAGCAAATCATTATATCTGGGGGATTGTCTTTCTAAAAATCTGGCTTAGCAAGTAGAGAAAACAAATTTCCAACCCAATGAATTCACAAATTTGCTGATTTATTTTGACATGAATTAAAATCGCACTGTTAGGTATGAGCTACGGCACTGTTGAAAATAGGTGGTTCCCGCGTGGGAGTGGGGCTGGTGCTGAGGTTGAGCACTCGCACTGATCCTGGGGGTGCACCTTGTACTCCTCCCCACCACTTTGGTGGTCAGCACTATTATCCTCAAGTTTATAAATAAGGAAGCTGTGGGTGAGAGCTGTTGAACAACTTGCCCAAGAATTAGACACAGCTAGTAAACAGTGACATAACACCAGTCAAGAAGGGTCAGTTCATCATCTAGAACTAATGATGTAATGTATGGGGATTAACATAAGAATAAAAAAAAAAAAAAAAGAAGGGTCAGTTCAGTTAGAGTAAAAATAGTAAAATGAGGAAGTATATTTTTGACAAGTCAGCTGACCACATGATTCTCAATCCAAGCACAGTAAATGTTTAAAAATTAGAAAATGTGCACCACCTTTAAACATTTAAACAGTGAGAAGCCAAATTTCAAATGCTCTACAGTAACAGTTTTGTTTATGAGGCCTCTTGCTTCACATGGCAGATTGAATCTATGCCTCTCTTTCTAACCGGAACAGATGATTTCAAGTGGAGCTGGCTGGGGAAAGATAATAATATAAATGATGACTTAGCACCAGATGGCTCACAGTGCAGGTAAAAAACCAACAATCAACTCATTCTTTGGCAAGTCAAGATAAAATTATGAAACATTTTATGAACCCAAAAAAACCCTAATAGAACAAAACTCATCAAATTGCCAGTAAGATTAGAGAAGACCATAGTGTCCGAGTATTTACCTTATGTGTGAATAAATACATTTTAGAGAAACACATGGAGGTATCAATTCTCATGTCAAAATAAAATTCAGGACAGGGAAGACTAAAATTTAGACAAATTTTGAGACTGCATTTGTCCATGGTTGCCAGCTTTCTTCCTTCAAATGTCCCTGTACAGAAGCACCAAGGCTTCTGTAGACTGGCTGAATTCATCAGAGCTAAGTTATATGTGCTTTACAAGTCTACCAACTGCCACTCCAACCTAGTTGCCTTGTGCTCTATGATGTTCTGACCTGTGTGTTCCCAACCAGGCGGTCTATTGCTTGTCTTCCTGACTTGTCCAATCCTTGATCTCTTCCAGTAGCCAGACACTGGGCCCTCATCATTTGTCTCTCTGACATGCCCACACCCTTCTGCCAAGTTGCACCTATCCCCTCCTTCGAAGCCATGCTCAACATCTAATGTGCTCTAAGCTTCTCCTCAGCTCACCCATCTACATATCAGCATCACTTGGATTCCTTTTCTATGAAGGTTCTGCTGTTTTCTCTTTGCCCTTGTGGTTACCTCCTTGTGCCCTTTCAAAATGCATCAAAGCTTGAGCCCTCTTCTTCCTTTATGTGGAAGACACCATGGGGATTGAACATTGTCCTGCAGATTGTAGCCAGGGCTTTAGGCAAGGAAATGTTCTAACATTAGATTGGGGTGAAAATACCAGAAACACTGATGTCTAATATGACAACTGAATTGTCTAATTTGACAATTCAATCTCAATAAAGCTGTTTTTAAAAAATAATTTAAAGAAGACTATCTTGAAAGAAGTTGCTGTGGCCAATGTCAAAGAGGTTACAGCCTATGTTCTCCTCCAGGACTTTGATGGATTCCTGTCTCACATTGAGGTCTTTCACCCACTTAGAGTTTATCTTTGTATATGGTGTTAGAGAATGGTCGAGTTTCATTCTTCTGTATATAGCTGTCCAATTT